GTCTGACCGTTCCTACCTTTTAGTTTCCTTTCACTTCTCCAGAGCCCCTCTTTAGCATTATGGACTTCCTTTGTTCCTTCCTTATCTCCCAGATGTCAAGCTTCACACTCATATTTAATAAATAAATAGCGCTTGCTTTGAAGTTTCAGTCGCTTCCACACTCCTCAGTCTCAGGTGTACATATACCCTTCCTGGTCTTGGCAAGTGTTCTTGCTTTGCTCTTTCTTCCCTCCAAAATGTCATTGTTACTATATTCTTTTGCTTTAGTTTTTATCCATACTTACTATCTGTATCTTTATTGTCTTTTAGCATTGGTAGACAATAGTGACTGGAAGTAAGTAGTAATTATTGGGAGAGAAAAATTAATTGCAGCCATTGTGGACTACTTGTGACAGCCCCATAGAAGTGCACTTTAAAAGGTACAGATTCATTGTAGAGAGAACAGGACTGTAGCAAGAGTACAGCAGACTCTTCATCGCACAGGCAAAAACTATCCCAGTTTACAAGGTCTCTGATACAGAAAAAAGCAAACAGATGAAAGGGATGGAGCATAGGGAATACTTACAATTAAAGGAGAGAAGTATGACAATGGGGTGTAAAAATTGAAGAAATGTATATTTAGTAATAATTGTACATTTTAAAATTTTTAACTTATGTAATGCTTGTTTGAAAATTGTTCACAAATACTTCATTCCCCATCCCTCCATATTTTCCTTTTTTCCCATTATTAGCTATCCCTTTCCCTATCCAAGGCCAGCATGGCAGTCTGATAAAGGTTATTTTCAGCTTTTTTTCAAACCCTGCACCTATGTGTGCATTTATATAAACATACCACTTCCCAGACTATGATGGAAAACTACTGTAGCCTTCAATTAGGAATGCAGGTACACAGGATAAGTGATCTGGTAAGAGAGAGTAAATGAAAGGGAAAAAATGAGCAGCATGGACCATAAGGAAAATGACCACAGATCACTGATACCAGTTTATTTTATCTATTGTCTTAACTTTGTCAAACATCTTGTTTCAAAGTATTTAGTTCTTTCTTTTTTCAGGTTTTCTTTCAGATATTGGGCATATAGTCATACTTTTACTTGAAAGTAGCCATATCCTTAATAGAGTGAATGGCTTTCTTGCCAGTTTGTTTGTTCATTTGTCCATTTCTATGTGTTAATGAGACAAAGGTGATTATCTTTCTAATCTTTCTACCCTAAGATTTAACACAGATTCATGCTCATTATCATTAGATTTAATTAGGATAGTAAAGTTTATTTTAGATTTAGGAAGAGTAACTATCACATACTGCATTAATACTTTGTTTTTCTAGAACCATGAAATCATCATCCATAGCAATTACTAGAAATTTCCTTTGAAAATGACCAAAATAATAAAAATAAAAAGATAATTTTTTTTAAATGAAGTAAAATGACAAAGAATCTTCCTGTTTGAAGTAAAAATGACAGAAGGTCTTCCTGTTCCTTGATGAAAAGCAAAGCAGCCACTAAGTCAGGTTCTGAGAAAACAGCATCTCCTAAAACCTGCTAGTTAGTATAATGCTTCCCAGCAGTTTTTTCTCTATTTTAAGCTTGTCCTCTTGTTCACGTAAATAAATTTTGACATCAGTTTACTGTGCTTCTTTGTCAGAACCTGGTATCATTTCGACTCTAATTTAGTATAGAATTTAGATATTTAGGTGCCAAGTTGAATAAATCCTAAAACTATTTTTTTTCCTTGTTGACATCAGTTATTTTATTTTAAAGAAAAAAAAATAAAAACAATGGTACAAAATCTCAAAGCAAGATTTTAGGAGAGTAACAATGGTTAGTACACTGTGTATTGTTACTGCCAAAGTAGTTTATCATATTACAAGATATAGGCAAGAAATAATAAATAATATAGGTACAAACCTGTTTTTTTTAAAGTCAACAAGAAATGGAAATATACTTTTTAAAGTTTCTAATACTAGGAGAAGATATCATACAATGTCTTTTAAATAAGTTGTAAGTCAAAGATACAGTATAAATCTTAGAACAAAAATTAAGATTAAGCAGTATTCAGAAAATTAAATGTTTCAAAACAATTGAACTAAGAAAAAGTTTTCATGATAGCAAAGAAGTACTAAGAGTAAAACATAAGATAAATACTAGAATGGCAAG